TATATATATATATAGGTAGCGAGCGTTGTCCCGCATTTGGTTTAAAAGAGTTAAACATGTCCATACAAAAAAACGGCGCAGAACCAACAGACAGGCTCCCCACATCTTACACTTGTTTCTGTACCCTTCTCCTCCCCCACTACGCAACCAAAGATAAACTCAAACGTCTCCTCACCACTGCCATAGAGGCTTCAGAGGGATTCGGCCTACAGTAATACACCATACCAGGGGGCCCCCCACGGGCCAGGGGGTTTGGGGGCCCCCACGGGGGCCCCAAGCGGCCCCCAGGAGGCACACACAAGGGGCCAAGGGGGCCCCAAGGGGCCCCCACGGGGGCTCCAGGAGGCATACACAGGGGGCCAAGGGGCCCCCAAGGGGCCCCCACGGGGCCCCGCGGGGGCACACAACACAGGGCCCCGAGGGGGCACACACGGGTCCCCCATGGGGCCCCTAAAAAAATCTCTGTATAAGTGGCGCCAAGGAGACATCCACAGGGTACCGAGGGGGCCCCCAAGGGGCCCCTAGGAATTCTCCAAGGGGGGCCCCAAGGGGGCCCCCACGGGGTCCGAAGGGGGTCCCAACGGGGCCCCTAGGGGGGCCCCCCGGGGCCCCTAGGAGGCCCCCACGGGGCCCTAGAGGCCCCATGGGGCCTCTAGGGGGCCCTCTATACTGGGTGGGGGGCCCCCGCCCCACCCAACTCAACAGGGAAGGGGCCCCACACTCTAGTTCAGGGGGGGGCCCCCTTCCAGCTGACAGGGGCCCCCCCATCCCAGTTGGCGGGGGGCCCCCCAATCCAGTAAAGGGGGAGAGGAGGGGGGCCCCCCCCCCAACTAAGGCCGGGGGAGGTAGGGGCCCCCCACACCCCGGCTGAGCGAAGGGGGGCCCTGAGTGGGTTCGAAAGGGGGGGGCCCCCCTGTCCCCTGGATGGGGGCCCCTACAGGGGGGCCCCCCCACGGGGCCCCCCCACAGGTGGCTCTATACGGGGGGGCCCGGGGGCCCCCCACGGCGCCCAGAGGGAATTTCGGGGTTTTTTATAGGGGCCCCCAGAGGGGCTAAACAGTCATAAAGAGGCAGTGCGAAGGACCCCTGGGGGGCCCCCAAGGGGCCCCCTAGGGTCCTGTCAGGGGGCCCCCAGAGGAGGGGCCCCCAAGGGATATGAAAGGGGGGCCCCTTGAAGGGGGCCCCCAAGGGGCCCCCAATGGTTGGCGTTCTTGCCTGGGGCCCCCCGTTTGCTTGGGTTTGTATCGATGGCTTTCTCTGGGGTAGGGAGAGGAGAATGCAGCATATATAACTGTTTCTTTTTTATGGTGAAACAGTACTCACTGTGCAGCAGCAGCAGCAGCAGCAGCAGCAACAGCAGCAGCAGCAGCAGCAGCAGTAGCAGTAGCAGGAACGGCAACAGCAGCAGCAGCTGTAGCAGCAATAGCGGTAGCAGCAGCAGTTGCAGCAGCAGCAACAGCAGCAGGAGCAGTAGCAGCAATAGCAGTAGCAGCAGCAGCAGCAGCAGCAGCAACAGCAGTGGCAGCAGTAGCAGTAGCAGTAAAAGCAACAGCAACGGCAACTGTAGCAGCAACAGTAGGAGCAGCAGCAGCAGCAGCAACAGTAGCAGCAGCAGCAGCAGCAGTAGCAGCAGCAGCAGCAGCAGCAGTAGCAGCAGCAGCAGCAGCAGCAGCAGCAGCAGCAGCAAGTAAACAGTGAACGAATCCTCTTAAGCATCAGCGGTAGCACCCCATTTCTTTTTTTGGGTTTTTACCTTTTACCCAGAATACAGAAAAGTATAATATATAATATATAATATATATGCATATATATATATATATATATATATATATATATATATATGT